CAACTCCCAGAATTCCCCAGCCAGCCTTGCTGGCTGGGGAATTCTGGGAGTTGAAGTCTACACATCTTAAAGTTCTCAAGGTTGAGAAACACTGAGATAGGTTATCCAGAAGAGAACTAGATGTCGTTCTGAAACCAGAAAAATCCCAGATGAGTATTAAGAGTCCCCTTTGGTGCTACAACTCTCAGGTTAGGATTTTAACCAGAGGTGGGCACCAATGACATTTGAAATTCTCTGCCCAATTTGTGAGTAGAGTTTTGCTAACCATTTCTTCAGGAAAGGCCTTTCCCTTGTTGGTGACTGTAGCATTGCTAGGCAAAATATCCAGTGGGACAAATTTCATCCTAAATCTTACCATCGGATTCAGCGGGAGTGTGGGAAGGCTGCCGAGTGAATTGCACAAAGGAAATCTGGATGTTCACACGTACTCTTTCCCCCCTTTGTACCTAAATAAGAATAAGAACACCTCGCTTTGCATCTAAAGAATTCTCTGCAATTTCCCTTTCCTCTCCTCTGAAGGCAGTTTCAAAAACCATTTCTCTGTGGGTGGGAATTGATAGAAGGAAATTCTGTACCCAGGACTAGTTTTGACTTCTGCTTGCAAACCATTCTGAAAATTTTGCACCAAATTGACATATATAGTTAAAACAAACAATAGTTTGTTTGTTTTAACTATACATATTGACATATATATAGTTTGTAGTTTTAACTTTTTAGTTTCAATTTGAACCTTTTGTCGTTTTTAACTTGTATACATTTTTAAAGATTTTATCGTTTTTTACTTTATATACACCGCCTGGAGTCACTTGTACCGTGAGATGGGCGGCATATATAAATTTGAAAATAAATTACAAAAAATAAAAGAAACAAAACTAAAAATGCAGCGTTCGTTCTTCTCTGTTAGGTTAAGCCAGGAAATCTCAAGAAGCAGGCTTCCTGGGGCAACGGGGAAAGGGGGATTTTTTTTTTAAAAAAAGAAGAATTAGCAGCAGGCATGTTTGATTGGCATCATCCTGCAGGAATTGATGGTTTTTTTGGGTGAGAAGTGAATGCCTTTGCCCCCTCTCTTGCGGCTAAGGTTTTAAAGGGCCATGGCTGGAGAAATATTTGAGACCTGGATCTGAAGGCCAAAAAGTGCTTTGCAGAACATAGGGGCATTTACACAACATTTGTTGCGTGCAACTCCTTAAACGGGTTGTGTCTTTTGCTGAATTTCTGCAGTTTCCCCTTCTGCCATCCAAAAAGGCACGTTTGGTTTGCCTACATACCGTGAAGCTCCTACCTCTTTGAATCCAAAGCTTGATCCGAAGCGATCTGCTGTCTTGTCCTGTCTGCATGATACTTTAACACTGAAGTTCTTTTGTTATTTCTTGGTTCTGAATGATTTGCTTTCCTCTAAAAAGGGAAGTAGTTTACTATTTAAAAATCCTGCTTTACGGTGAAGGCTTTGAGCCTAGAAAAAAATGATCTATAGAAATAAAGCAGTTCCAAGGAGTTAAAGATGCTCAAGTAGCTTACGGATAGCCAACAGTCCTGCTTAAGGCAGCTTTCAGACTTGCAAACGGACCCTGAAATTTTTGGATGTGGCTCCAGTTTCTTTCAGCAGAGGAAACAACGATATATGTAAGAATTCATCATATTAACCAAATTTAATACATCAAATGCAAATTTGACTCCGTTTGAATTTAAATGAAAGGAGTCACAGGAGGTGTCAATGCAATCATGGCCACCATCTTGACTTTCTTGACACTGGATGGTTCTGGGGTCAAATAACATTTAAATATTGTCTTACCCCTGCTAGTTTCTTTGTCCCATGTTTCCTAATTTTGGAGTGTGACCCGCGCCCCAGCCATCCACTCCAGTGAGCATGGCCTCCATAAAAGCGAGTTTGCCTCTTGTCCTAAATGGTCTTCGTGCCTGTTAAGGCTGAAGGAAGATTTGCACCCTGCTGCCAGCTGAGCTAAAACCCAGCGACCATCTTGAGGGGCTGTTTCTGAAGGTTGATTTTGTTCCCCCTTTCATGTTTCTTCTATTTGCCAAGAGGAAAATTTGCCAAGCAATTTTTCTGTTCCAGGGAATGAAATACTTACACAGCCAGAATGTCAGCCACGGGCGCCTCAAATCCCGCAACTGTGTGGTGGACGGACGGTTTGTGCTGAAAATCACCGACTACGGCTACGGCGAGCTCCTGGCAGCCCAGGGCATCCGTCAGGTTGAGACCCCCCCAGAAGGTAAACTGGGGCTCCCTAGCGCTTGGCCTGCCTTCCTCTCATAGAGCATTTCGCTGAATTTCCCATAAGTGGAATTCCGGAGGGATATTTCGCGTTTACTTCATTTTGAGGATACCAGGGAATAGAGAAAGAGGCTGAGAAGAGACAGATCATGGAGGTAGAAGAGACCAGTGAGGTCTTCTAGCCTAACCCCTGCCTGGTGCAGGATCCACTGGAGCATCTCTGATAGAGGAGAACCTGGCCTCTCTTTGAAGACATCAAGGAGGAGAGGGAGAGGGAGGGAGGGGGGGGGGGGGGGGGGGGGGGGGGAGGGGGGGGGGGGGGGGGGGGGAGGAGGGGAGGAGGGGAGGGGGGGGGGGGGGGGGGGGGAGGAGGGGAGGAGGGGAGGGGGGGAGAGAGAGGGGGGGAGGGGAAGGGAAGGAATGAGGGAGGACCGAGAGAGAAAGGAAAGGATTTTAATTATCCTCTACCCTCATGTTTTTAATGCCCTTAAATTCAGCCAGAAGAAAAACCATCATAGAAGTTTGAATGAGTGAATGAATGAATAAATTTCAATCCCAGAATGTTTTGCAGAGATGTTGTGGTAATTAAACAAGGATCAAACTGATTCAAATTTGCAGTGCAGTGAGAACTGAACCTATAGTTATAAATCACTATCCAACTTTTTCATCTGCATTGTAGACATAGGCTTAAAAAGGGCAATTATGCCAGAATCTCCCTGCAACCGGTTGCTGACTAACCGGGTCTTTGTTCTGGTTTTCCAGAATTGCTCTGGACCGCTCCTGAATTACTGAGAGACTCCGAGGTGGACCCCAAAGGCACCTTTAAAGGTGATGTGTTTAGTTTTGCCATTATCCTGCAAGAAGTCATTCTTCGGGGGCCCCCCTATTGCATGTTGGAAATACCAGCTGAAGGTGAGCAATCGTGCTGTTCAAAGTTTCTGCAGCTCCTAAATGCACCACCGCCTTGCACTTTTCCACTGAACAGAAGCAGGAAACACAAAAATGAGGGTGCTGCATTGTGGACTAAGGATGTATGCAGAAAAAGAAATGGTATATGTCATTGTGAGTTCATTAAGGTGGAGTCTCTTTGAAGGACTTGAAATGCTTCTTCCCAGCTTTCTCACCACCTGGGCTAAGTAGTCCGTCTGGGCTGTGCTCAGATTGGTTTGTCTAGACCTTGAGTCTCAGCTGACTGCTCTATCTATGAGAAACTGGTATTTTGAGCCTCTGGTGTTGTTCCCAATGCCCTTCTGAGCTGTGCTCATGTACTGGCCAACATGGTCCTGTAGCTTGGTGGCTAGGATGCCTGATAGGACTTTCCATGTTGTGGGGAGGCAAGTTATTGGCTGGTAACTGGGTGGTGCTGTTCCCTTGTGGGGGTCTTTCATGATCAGCACTGTCCTTCCTTGGGTTAGCCAGTCGGGGTGGGAGCCTGCTGCTAGCAGCTGGTTCATCTGTGCTGCTAGGTGTTCATGCATTGCTGTTAGTTGCTTTAGCCAGTAGGTGTGGATCATGTCCAGACCAGGTGCTTTCCAGCTCCTCGTGTTCTTGACCGCAGTTGGATGTCTGCTACTGTGATGGTGACTGGTTCCTGTTCTGGGAAATTGCTGTGGTTTGCTTTCAGGTCCTGCAGCCACTTTGCACTGGCGTTATGTGTCTTCTCTTTCTCCCATATGTTCTTCCAGTACTGCTCAGTTTCTGCTGCTGATGGCTCTGCTGTTGCACTGCAGTTGGGAGGACCCCTTGGATGGTTCTTTGGAGAACGGGGCATTTATCTTCTTGGCCTCTGCTTCTCTGGTGTATCTCCTTAGCTTAGTGCTGTGAGCCTTTGTTTAGCAGACTCTAGGGCTTCAGATGAAGTCAGGCCCATGTATTTTTTCAGTAGTCGGGTCTTTTCCTTAATCTCCACACCCTTCTGTAGTTCTTTTTGGCCTTACCTGATCCGCCATCTGGGGAGGCCACGCAGAGCCCTCATGACAATCCCTACTACCACCATAACTCAAAACTCAAACCAATGAATACAGCCATTGTAATCCTGGAGATGCTTGGGTACAAGATCAAGAAGAACAGCAGTACGTACCCGCCCTCCCTGGAAAATGAGGTTGGAGGCTAAGATCAAGGCAACTCAGAGAGAAGTCAGTCAGCTGGTGGAACTGCAGAAGGGTGTGGAGATTAATCAATTATAAGTTGAGTTATCACTCTAAGGACACCCTAAGGCGACCCGTATGGTCAGGTTCATACAACACATTTAAATTGGTTACTGAATTAAATCATTTTATTGATTTGTTTGCTTTCTCATTCTATTGATTTAGAGGTCCAACTCTACAAGACTATGAATTTTCTCAAGTCATTGAAACTTAAACTAACCCAGTGGGCTCATTTTGCACAGCATTCCAAGCCAGGGTCACCTTAACCAAAAATTATACTAATTAAGCATTGCATGTCATGTAAATTCAGATTCTGGATCTTTTACTGACCTGGTGAAGCCTGTTACGTGAACCACTCCAATAACTGTGTTTGCCCAACACCTTTAACCGGTATGCTGAACTAACCCATTTTCTGTGTCCAAGCACCACGGAAAGCTGTAGTGTATGTTCTCTTGGGAAGGGGGAATTATTAGTGAGTGAACATCTGATGAAAGGGCATTCTTTGTGACTTCTCTTTGGCCCAGAGATTATAAGCAAGTTGAAGATTCCCCTGCCTTTGTTTCGTCCAAGTGTTCCTCTGGAAAATACCCCTTTGGAATATATCCAGCTGATGAAGCAGTGCTGGAGTGAAGTGCCAAATCGAAGACCAACGTTTGACAAGGTTTTTGAACAGGTTAGGACTTGTTATGTTTGCCCCATCAGCCAGGTTAGTTGGAATTTCGTGATGTATCTCATAGCTGGAGAGCCCTCCTTTGCCAATTGCCACCTGGAGTGCTAGATCCAGTTCCAGGCACTGAAGTCTAGCAAGGACAATGATGAACAAGTTCAGAGGAAAGCTACCAAGATGGTGAGGGGACGAGAAACAAAGTCCGATCAAGAACAGTGAAAGCTTCTGGATGGGTTTTGCTTGAAGAAGAGAAGACTCAGCCCCTGAGGAGCAATACCATGGGAATCTTCAGCTATCTCAAAGGGTTGCTTATTGTTCTTGGTCACCTTGGAGGGCAGGGGCTGAAGCTATCAGGAGGGAGATGCAGGTTGGGCATTAGGGGGAATTTATTGGTGGTAAGAACTGTCAGCCAGTGGAACAGGCTGAGACATGAAGTTAAGAATTCTCCTTCACTAGAGGTCTTCAGAGAAGTTGGATGGTCATCTGTCAGAGATGGTTCTAGTGCAGTGTTTCTCAACCTTGGGGGCTTTTTGGGTTTTTGGGTTTACTCCTCCCCCTCTCTCTCTCTCCCCTCTCTTGTGT